CTTGGGGAAAATGCATCTTCAGGGATTGAAATAACGAATGGCTAAAAGAAGTAGTTAAGAGCAAAGGGATTCACGATAAAAAGGAGAAAGATAAAATACATGACTTTCAGTAAAATGGTTTTGCCCAAAACAGTATAACCTGTTTATCTTATTATTCTTAGCATAAAACTACCAGATTAATTACTACTTATAAAGGACAGAAACAGGCTATAGTCTGATTCACTAGATAAAACACATATAAGTGACTTACAATGAATATGAGTATCTTAAAACAATAACATTGGCAAATCTAAAATAATCTATATAAGCTTGAGCTAAGAATAATATTGAGGAATATATTAGCAAATCCAGCCAACAAGGCTTTGGTTTTGTAGCCCAGTCTCAAAATCTACATATAAGAATTATCTCGTTTACAATCGAGTATTCAATATGGAAAGAATTGTATATATTCTGACTTGTCTGTCTGCAGAACAGGAAACTCCAATTCCAACTGGACATGAAGCCCCATGCCTCGGCAATCTGACGACACGTACGTCGTGGCAGAAATATTTCCCACCAAACTGGGCCCCGATACCCAACTTTTGAGTCATATGAAGCACTTTCTCTTCCAATTCTCGATCACGAAAACCTCGACCGTGCTCACTGCCTATAAGGTAAGATGTCATTGAGTTTGTATAGGCTTATTAAAATAAGCATAAAAATCTTTAAGATACAAAAGATCCAAGATATGAAGAACAGTATGGTGTGGCCTTTTGTATGGTCGATGCCTCCTTTCGCTGTATACAAGTTGTTATACCATGTTTTTATAAATGGGTAATGTTGGCAGGAAGACTTAGAGGAATGCACCTTGTGCAGTCTATTGTATGCATGATAATTTCTGGAGTAGGACTGTGGACGTGGTACATTCCCAGACGTTTCGCAGGCATCGTCAGTGAGTCTTGCCATTTTTAGCATCATACTACAACTCGTCAGAGATAAGTTATCATGCATACTATGAATTCCATACAAAGTGCGTTCCTCTAGGTCTTCTTGCCAATATGACCAAGTTGCGAAAACAAGATAAAACAACTTCTATAAAAGATCCAATTCAATGAAACTTTTTTGAATTCTGTCGACTGAATGAAGAGTAAATAATGTAGTGCTGTCATATACAAAACGTGGAAAATGAACTAAGAATGCGCATTGTATTCATACATACATGTTGATATAGAGAATCAAAAGTAAGCCAAAAGCTGCTACGGGAAAAATGGAGCATTTATGAACAACTGAGGTTAAAAGAGCCCTCCGGATAAAAATTTCCCTGACCAGTTATCAGGCATATGCTAAAATTTAACGTTCACACTGAGTCTTCATTAAAGTCATTAAATATAGATACCGAAATAAAGCTTCATATTCTTGTTAGCTTTAACTCAAAGTAAAATAAAGTTCCATCTAGGCTTAAAAAAGGATAAACATACACTCAAGACTTGGAACTGGAAAAAAGACAAAGAAGCTTGCTGATGAGACCAGTTCAAGCAAGGACATACATTTAGTCCACTCCTGCCTGGAAAAGAATACTTTTGG